TTAACATCCTTGTTTTTTCTAAAATTATGCTTCCGTGTGATCAGGGGAATGATTTTTATTGACAGCCACCCCCTTGATTCGTAAAAGCTCACCAAACCTTTTCAGATTAAACTTTGTACTTTGTGTTTGAAAGCAGGATAAGTTTCAATGGAATAACCCACATTTTCATTATGGTAATCGTATGTGGCAATAACATCATACCATTTGGGATAGGATGGCTTTAATACTTCTATAATAGATAGAGATACCAAGTCATTCTTGACTAGTTCTATGAATATCTCAGTGTAAGTCATGAGAATAGGATCAATGTAGGCCATTTCTTAGCTATTTCGTAATCTCCTCAAATCACTCACTCGGTTGTTAAGCCTAGACCCATATATAGGTATTTGAAAGGTTAATTGGTAGGTTGATAGGTAAGTTAGTTGTGAAATAAGTTGGTAAAGGGCTTGCACAATTTCATTAACTATGGGGTAATAAGTAAGGTGAACAGGTAATGGATACAGAACATAGCTTTCGAATTGTTTCCCATCAAAATTCATAGCTTGGGTGTCGATTTTTTTCTTTTTAGGTAATTTTTTTTTTGTACTGGTGGTCTCTTTTTCCTAAGCTTTACCACTTTTTATGGTATTTTTAATAATTTTTTCTAAAATCACCATATCAACAAAGTTTTTTCATTGTATTTCATATTATCTTTTCACAGTAAGGAGATTTTAAAATACTTACAAATAACACCTAGTCTCTTTCTCAGTTAAAAATGATTGAACTTGAATAATTATGTCTCTCCATCTTTGGGCATACTCCTTAAATAATTCAATCACCTTCTTCTTAATATTCTACAAGAAAATATGATCATGAGTTAGATCTATTATATATCGATACTGATTGATGAAGTCACGGGCTATCTCGCTCTAGTAGTGATTATGGATCCTGTTTAGCTAGACATATCATCTATCACTAGAGCCAGTAAGACTATCTTGAAATACGTGTATTATCAACTTTTCATTATTAGCATAGATAGCCATTTTTTGATAATATATGGTAATGTGGGTCATTGGACACTTTGTATCATCATATTTTTTAAACTCTAATACTTCAAACTTTGGAGGAATAATGACATTTGGGACTAAACAAAGCTCAATAACATCCATGAAACCATAAAAGCTAAGTCTCTCCATTGCTTGTAACCTTTCTTCAAGCATATTCATTTTTTTGTCAGCTATTTAGTCCCCTTACAACTCGATCACTTTTGTTTTTAATTTTTTTTTCCTCAAAACTATCCAAGTTGGGGACTTGGATTGGCTCTATGCCTTTTCAGTAAAGACAAAATATACATAACTTTGGTAATGCCCTGAATTTGAAGCTAATGGTATTTCAGGGTATGTATACCCTACAAGGTATGTGAACTGCTATAGTTGTGCATCTTATGTAGACTGAGCTTAATGTGGCCTATAACTAAGAGGATAAAAAGGATCAACAACATCCTGTGATAGATGGTTTTGTAGGCTAGTATCTTTTTCTATAGCCTTCCCTTTATTCAACTTGTTTAGGGCTTCTAAAATTTTATTCAACTCTCCTTCAAGTTTTTCTTAGGCTTTTTTATTTTTTTTAGACAATTTGTATTTTTTTTTGTTTCATTTGTTTGGCTTTGGCTTTGATGTTGTACTTATGGTGAATGGGTTGAACTGGATTCTTAGACGATGGATCTATTTTTAAACCTTATGTCATAATTAGCATGCTCTGTTACTAAATATGTATGCAAAAAAGCTTTTTAAACTAACTTTTTTAGGAATCCTATATGTAAGAATGTATAAATGCATTGAATACTTGACATAACAAACTATGATTCATAAACACATGAATGTATGCATAGCAATGTATAAATACATGTACTGACGTGTCACATTATGATGCATAGATGAATACATATGTTAGTGATGCTAAATTAGAATACAACACACAATACATAACAACTTAACAATAAATAAAGATCAAATAACATTTGTCATGAAGATTGACAAAAATGAAGCTCAAAAGGTCCACTCATATGTCTTAACTAAGGTTACATTCTAATAATAGATAGATAGGCTCTAACCTAATGTTGGTTTCTTATGTTTTACTACATGTGGTTTGGGTTAAATCTAAAGGTTCCCAAATTATTTGTAAAACACTCTAATCCCTACCCCTTATAGGCAACAAACAAAAAGGATTCAATTTAAATTAGAGTATTTCATCAGCCATTACGGAGATTATCATCTCACGAGAGCATGGGTACTTTACTCTCTTCTAAGAAGGATAAAGCCTAATAATAGAGCTCATGTGATGCATATACATGTGATAGTGTGTGTGTGTGTGAAAGAATACATATATCTTAATTCATAATTTTCTCAAGCCAAGTCAAAGAATAAAAAAATAAATAATTTAAAACCAAGCAAACCAAAAATTAGGATAACACAAAATTAATTAATGACTTGACTCTCAGAGTCCTTAGTAGAGTCGCTAAATTGTCATAACATATAGATCCGAAAATTTATAGCTAGACTTAACAAGAGGAGTCTCCACTAATCTTTTTTCTATGTGTGATTGGTTACCTAATAAATCTATCCTTTTAAAAAGCTCCTAAGCTTGACTAAGGGTCTCTAAAGAATAGGTTCTGACCTTCTTAATAGAACTAGATTTGGAGTTCAGTTACATATAGAAAAGATTATAGCACCCCCACATGCCCATCCAAAGGATGATACCATTTAATTTTAAATTATTCTAGCAATCATCTTGGTTCAATGGCCTTTATTTTAATGTTTAAATATTGGAAATAGTTTCTAAGATTTCATTATCAATCTGAAAGAATATCTAAAAATTCTTTCTCATCTAAAGAGTATTTAAGAGTTTTATTTATTTTCTTAAAGAGGCTCCGTCGTCGAAAAGAGATTTAATCATTTTTTATTTTTATTTTTATTGAAAATATATTTAATTCTTCCACCATTTTGGTCAAAATTAAAAATATTTTCTCACTTAAAAGTATCTTAGATAATCATCCATTTGTGATTACTAAGAATTTCATTATCAAAATTTATTTCTATTTTGCAAGTTTTATTTCTAAATTTTTTACTATTTGGATCTATTTATAAATATGTTTCTTCTATTTATTCATCACTTGCTTCCTAATCCTTAGAAAAATAATATGATAACTATTTTTTTTTAATTCTCATCTAAATTCTTCCACTATTTAGGTTGAATTTAGAAAAAAAATTCTCACCTAAAAATTTTATACAAATTAGCCATTTTTAATTTTTAAAAATTTCATCATTGGATAATTATCATTTATTTTTCAAATTTTAATTTTAATTTTTTTATAGTTTTCCTAAAAATTTAATAATGCAAAAATATTCCAAAAAAATGAATAAAGAAAATAATAACATAAAATAAAAATAAATAAAAATCATTAAAAAAAATAAAACAAAAGGACCAGCTCGACTCGGTTATGGCACTAATTCAACTCCAACATAAAGGACAATTTTATAGGCATAGCTTAGCTGACTAGCAGTTCAGCTCCATAGCAGCTTAAAAAAGATGGATCCCAAGTCAAAGCGCTATAGATCGGGTTGAGTGTTCATGGTGGCATGCGGATTTTGAAGGCTTTATTGCTAAAACAACGTTGTTTCTTGTGTAATATAAAAGCCCAAAATTTTTTTTTTCAGATTTTATTTTTCCTTTCTTTCTCTTTAGCCTTTTTTTTTTCTTTTTTCTCTAAAAAATATAAATGTTGATTGAATCCTTTATTGAATTATGGGAAACAACACCAAGAACTGGGAATGTGCCAGAAAGACTTCAATCGACTTTTGGGTTGGATCACCAGAATCTAGGTTGGTCATCAAAAAGTCGGTTTCTCACCAGAATCTTACCAGAAAACTTAAACTTGGCCAAAATTTTCAATCGGATTCTGGATTCCCAGAATATTCCAAAAAAAAATCTTTAAAAAAATTTCTACAATTTTTCAAACTAATTTTGACTTTTCAAATCAACCTAAATTAGAATCTCCAATTAAAAAAACTCTTAAAAGCACTCCAAAATCCAACAATCAACCCAAAATCGAATTTTAAAAAATTATCCCATTTTCGACTTCTTTCTTTTTCTCTCTGATTATCATTTTTTTCTAAGTATTTTTTCTATTTCACTACTGATTTCTTGTGTTGATTCGTAAGTTAATTTATAAGAACACTTAGAGGAGTTTTTAATTAACTATGATTCCATCTTTGATAAGATTTTTGTATTATCATGAAATTAGAATTTATCCTCTACAGATTGAATCCAACTCTAATTCTAACAATATTCATTTTTCTCATGGTAAAACATTATTTTATTAAATTGAAAATATAAATAAACTATAAATAAAATAAAAACGAATTTTAAACTCTGAACAAAATCGGGTGTTTATAAAAATTTTAATAAAAAATTCAAATAGATAGATTGATAGAGTTTGATGTGTACATTAATAATATATAAAAATCTTATTAAAAATATTATTTATAATTTAAATTTAATCGATATTTATTTAACGATAAAAATTCTATCAATATTTTTATTAAAAATATCTATTTAATAAATATATCAAATTTTATTAATTTTTTTTTAATTTTACATACTTAATTTAACTGATGAGATCTTTTAATTTATTAATTTTAATTTTGATTTATTTATTTTTGATAAAAAATTTCATAAATTTTATCTATAGATGTAAATCTTTTCCTTCGCGGTGATTGTGGAGGACGAAAAGTATAGGTGGCCAGGAAAGTTATGGCTGTTTCGTCGTTTAGTGCCGTGAAACCAAAATTTAAAATTGAATAGACCACCCCAGTTTTTTTCTGCGACTTGTTTGAGTGTTATGTTAGTGCGTCTCTGTGATTTTCACCTTTTCCTTTTAGTTTTTTTTCTCTGCATAGCTCTCTCTGTCTTTGCTTATTTAAAAACCTACCCATTGCTGTTTTTCCAGTCCTAAGATCTCACATTGCTTCCTTTGTTTCTTTCTTTATCTGTACAGTTATCGAGGCTAGTTTCATTGACAATTAATACATGCATAAGATTTTAATGTTTTTGCCTGCTTAGGTCTAATTTTTTATTTCGGGTTTTGAAATTATGCAGAGGATAAGCAAGAAGAATGACTAACCAACAAAATGTGATGGTTCTTGATGTGAAATCGCGTGGGGTTAGGAATGTGTTGCCTCCATCATCTCTGCCGGTGGCAAAGCCCTTTTTACCACAAGACCTTAAGATGCTATTGGTGAAGAGGTTTGAAACTGAGAAAGGAGGAGCTAAAATCAATGTCTGGGTAGATTCTATGAGAGCTTCTTCACCTACACGAGTCAAGTCTACGGGTTCCTTACCTGAAACTGATGAGAAAAGTGCCTGGATTGTAGGTTCCATTTCTCCATCAATATTTATTGCTTCCCGGTTCTTCAACTGTTGTTTTTGTATCGTTCTAATTGGCATTAATGGCCTTTTTTTGGTCTACTGCTGAAACAGGTTCATCATCCCTCAGCTTTGAGCATGTTCGAGCAAATAGTGGCTGTTTCAAAAGGAAAACAGATTGTGATGTTTCTTGATTACGATGGTACACTGTCTCCAATCGTCGAAGACCCGGATCAAGCTTTCATGCCAACAGAGGTTTGTTCTTACTCCACCACTGCTGATCATCAGCTGCCTCTGAGTTACTCAAAACTCCTACTAATTCATTATCTATAATCAGATGAGAGCGGCAGTAAGAGACGTCGCAAGATATTTTCCAACAGCAATAGTGACCGGAAGGTGCAGAGACAAGGTACATTTTTCTCGAAACTTACTCTCATGTTACAATTAATACTTTTTTTTTTTTTGGTGTTGAGTTGTCAGGATTCAACCTAATCATTGAACGAGATTGGATTAATACATTTTTTTGTCTTTTGAAGTAAAAAACGTTGATTGATATTCATCATGAGATTCAACAGGTTTACAGCTTTGTCAAATTAGCTGACCTCTATTATGCTGGTAGCCATGGTATGGACATCAAGGGACCATCTAAACGTTGCAAAAACAAGAAAGTAAGAACATCAGTGTACTTCAGCAATTTAATCTACTGTACTCTTTTGTTTTTTTCTTTTCCCTTTTCCTTCATCGGTAATACCCCCCCTCCTTTTTTTTTCTTTCTTTGTTTTGTTTTTCTTTCCTTTGCTGCTTGCCTGCTTCTAACTTTTTTACTGTCAACTATTGTGTTATTCAGGGTAACCAGGGAGTTCTCTTCCAGCCTGCCAGTGAATTCTTGCCCATGATTGATGAGGTTTGTTGTCTCCCACCATCTGATTTCACAAAGTAAAAAAGAAACTTTCGGGAAATATCAAAATTTTGAACTTTAAAAAAAAAAAAAAAAACTTTCAGGTCTACAAAGCCTTGGGAGAGAAAACAAAATCCATTCCTGGAGCGAAGGTGGAAAATAACAAGTTTTGTGTCTCCGTACACTTTCGCTGTGTTGATGAGAATGTACAATTCAAACCCACTTTTCTCTTTTTTTTTCCTGCTGTATTCGGAAATATCAACGATTTCATAACTATTTCCTTTGTCTTTTGGCAGAGTTGGGCTGCATTAGCTGAGCAAGTTAGATCAGTTCTCAACGAGTACCCTAAGCTTAAACTAACTCAAGGGAGAAAGGTTTAATTCCTCTCTCTATTTTTTTTTTCCCTTTTCCCCATTTTTCATGGATAATAAAATTTTTCTTAAAGAAGAAAAAAAAGTTACATTATTTTGTTTTTTCCTAGATAAAGACAATTTGGTTAATAAACCATCTTTTTAATTTGATTCAAGCAGGTATTGGAGATTCGTCCGACCATCAAATGGGACAAAGGAAGAGCCCTTGAATTTTTGTTGGAAGCACTAGGTGATTAATTATTTACTGAATTTCTATATTTCTAATTATTTTTTTGGTACAAAGAAGGTTGTAGATAGAAGAAAAGATTATCAAGTGTTGGTATTCAATTCCAAACCAGTTATATGCTATTATTCTAATTATTTTATTACTACTAATAGTATTAATTTTACATTTTGTTAATTTCTATTTCTTTAGGATATGCCAATTCAAATGATGTTTTACCAGTCTACATTGGCGACGATCGAACCGATGAAGACGCATTTAAGGTATCTAATAATTAATTAGAACAAGTTGTATAAAAATCTACTTCTGAAAAATTTAGTTTGTTCTGCTCAACACAAATTTTGCCTGGCCTTATGACCAGGTTTTACGTGATAGAGGACAAGGGTTTGGGATTCTTGTTTCCAAAGTACCCAAGGAAACAAATGCTTCCTATTCTCTCCAAGAGCCATCTGAGGCAAGCAAGATTACTAATCTTTGCATGCAATTTCCAATTATTCTTATAACATTTGTTTGTTATTTTCAAACATTTTGGACCAACATAATTTTTTTCTTTTTCTTACTATAATTTTACAGGTAAAGGAGTTTTTGCGGCGTTTGGTGGACTGGAAAAAATTGTCACAAGGAGCACCATAATTTGCTAAATGTGCTTAGACATACACAAGATATTCGAATCCCACCCTAAATATCTGATTAAAGTGTGGGAATATTGAATTATGTAATTTTCTCGTTTAGAAAGAATTTCTAATTGTAATTAGCTACCATGTTCAGAGGCTATAATTGATAAAAATGAGAAAAAAAAAAAAAAAAAAAAGAAGAAATCCATAATTTTGGAAATTCTTTGAACTCTCTCTCTCTCTCTCTCTCTCTCTCTCTCTCTCTCTCTCTCTCTCTCTTATTTCCATAGCCATTTGTTGATGAGATATTCTTGGACATCTTGACCCCAACAAAAACGAATAAGAATGGTATATGTTTCATGATGCAACCACGTGTGGACGCAGTCACCTGCATTTGGCCTGGCCAGTTGGAACTGCTAGACAAAATATAATAAAAGATTAATGCAAGCAGTTTACGTTGTTTATAATTGGCGAACCTGAGGCAGTTCTTATAAAAAAATTCACCCTGATGCCAGATTTTGATCTGCAGCAAACAAACATTCAGAAGCTACAAATCCATTGGCTATTTTCCCTTCTGTAAAAAACAATCAAGTATAATAAAAAGGTTATAAGCTTAGAAAGCTATGTATATTGTGGGAAATTATCGAGGCAACTTTATTTTTTTTTATCTTTCCTTCCAAAACAAAGAAGATTGCCTATTATGAACTCAGCTTCATTTATGTTTCAGATGAAGTTATAATTGTAATAAAATATTATATTAATATAAAAAATTATTAAATTAAATCAAACAAATAAATCATTTAACAAATCCACATATAAATAGACAAATATAACATAAAGATGGATCAAAACCCACGCATGGGATTTGAACATGAAACTTCAAAATTACAAAATCTCTGTCTTATGTGTAAAACAAAACCTTGTTGACAGCTGTGCTACATTTATAACATTTCACTAGAAGGAAAAAAAAAGTACCTAAAAAGAAAACCTTGACCAATGTAACATTAACACATGTCATTTCTTAGATTTAAGTGCTTAGGAAATTAATCCCTCCTTGTATAAGGGAAAATCCTATTATTGGAGACTTATTATGGACAATAAAATAAGGTTACTATATATATATATATATATATATATATACACACACTATTAAAGAAAGTTGTTTAATTGTAAATAGCTAATTAACAGATGAATTTGCATATGCATGGGACTTGCCACTATTAATCATCAGTTGAATCAGTAAATTTTAGAACTGTCAGCTTCATTTTGTAGACATCCTGTTATATCAAACCTATTTTGTGGGGCATTCGCTAGACTCATAGCTCATAGTAAGGTTCCAGGCACATGATCGTGGGCATGTTTTGTGATAAAGAAAGAGAGAGATTACCAATCTTTGGAGAATGAATGGTAAACACAAAACTTATTTCAGTTTGAACATTTGGGGCTTTCCTGAAGAAGTTCAAGCAATATTGAGAATCCAATAATTCGTGAAATTATTATACTAGTTTTATGCATTCCCTTGGGGACCACTTTCCAGGCTATGTTGCAAGACCTGAAACAGTCTGTTACTAATTTATTGTGTATTTTACTACAATCACACCAAGAAATGGAATGGACTTTGTGCAAAAATATGTATAATATGGAGTCAAACTCATCAAAGGTGAAATGTTTTTGAAGTTGGAGTTCCACATCAATTAGAACCCATGTTTGATTACTCAAAATAATGGAGAGAGCATCTCTTAACAGTTGTAAAAGATACCTTGACAGGGCCAGACAAAAATTGCTCTAAAGAGACATTAATCACGTATATTTTCTTATATTAAGGTTTGAATATTTAGGCTTATAATTGAGTAAAGAATCCAAGGAACTTTTTATAAGCACCTTGATAAAGACCTATCAATTTTGAATTCCAAATTTAATTCAATTAATTTATGAATTTACTCTTAAAATATAATATTTAATAGATCTAAAATTTGATCTCAGTAAATCTGCATTAATTAACTTCTTCTCTTATTCTCAAGTTATGATCTCTTATATGCCAAAAAAAAAAAAAAAACCATCAGTTGTCCGATGACTGATGAATAATGTATCCAAGTGGTTGATGTTTACACTCTTCTAATATGTAGACTACATAGTTCAAAACATGCATCAATCAATGGCTCTACTCATTTTCTTCAGGAGGGATATTTTTCCTTATTTGGCAGAGAAAACACCATGCAAATTATATATTTATATATATACACATATATATTTTCAACTTGTGGAATTTTAAAAGAACCTCAAATCTTTTTCTCAATTTCACGTGCAAAATTTTTCCCATTTTTGGAAGGAATTTATCTTTATATACAAAGCAATTGTAATTTTTATGACAAATTGTACATATTGCACCGATCTTTGTAATTATTCTCATTTGTGACTTAGTTGGATTCTAAATTATGGGACCCCTTGATGAATGATCACATAGATTGATGGTAAAATGACCACAAACAAACATAACTTTGATGGGCCTATTGAAAACTTGATGAAAAAGGCAATTGCTTCTTGTTTGAATATTACTAATTTTAATCCGATTTAACCTTTTTATCCAAGTTTCACCTATCCATTATCTAGCCAATAATTGGATATTAAGCACAACTACTCAAAGCATTAATTCAAACCTCAATCATGAGGTGATAATACCTATGGAAAAATCTTTATCTCCCTGGCCAATATATCTATCCTGTACTTTGTCATGTTTCAGAATAACAGATTCCAAATGAGGATAGTAGATTCATCTGGTAACAATCTTATCCACATTTTCACAGTAATAATTAAGCATATGCTTGTAATTGTTGAAAATAATAAATCCGATGTTTAAGTTAAATTAATTAATATATATTCTGACATCCCAAAGCTTCTAACCTCCAACCCCATATAATATTACTGCAGCCACCTGTCATGAATATTATATATCTTAAAACCCTTGTGTTGGACAACAAACTAATAATAACACTGGCAATTATTAAAAAAATAAAACAAAAAATTAAGCTAGCAGAATTGTCACCATTACAGGGTACAATGAGATGTATAACATACAATTGTTATATCTTTAAGCAGATATGTTAAAGCACAGATAAAAGCTGAGAGTTTTTGCTTTTAAACCATAAACATAGGCTAATTGGTTGATGGACCATATATAAATGAACCTTGAAACACAAAAAAAAAAAAAAAGGAGAGGAGATCTGTGCATGTTTAAGATTTTAGGGAGTTAAGAAGTGGGAAAGAAGGCCATTGCTCACGAACAGAAGTAAAGACCTACACCATTGGGCACTTGGATTTGAGAGAGCCCACCTCAAAAGACTAAAAGGAATCTTAAAGTTGTTTTTATAATGGATCTAATTTTTATATTTAATGGTTATATTTTTCACAAGGTTAGGTGGTGAAAAGGATGCCCACTACTAGGTGAAGTGGAATCCATAGTTGAAGAGGAGCCCACTTGAAGTGCTTGATATATTTAATGGGGACATCCAACATATGCTTTCAACTTCAAGCCATGAAATCTCTCCCCCTGGCTCTTCGTACGTGTAAAGAAAGGTACCACTAGATTCAGCATATCATTGGGTCCTTATATAAACTAAGTTGCAGAAGCTCCAATTATTGGAGGAAAAGTGCCACTTACCTTCCACAACCAACCAAGCCCCTCACTTAGTGATGCCATTTGATTAAACAGCTTTCAACTCAGATCATTTCAGGACTAGCTGTTGTATGTGTCAAGAAAATAAAACATGTTAGATCTATAAAATGGTTTTTCGAGGAAATTCATTTAAATACTAAGTACATTTTTTTTTTAAGTTGAATCCTTCCTGCTCCCAACAAACCATATATATAAGATTTACCACATTAATGAATTGCTCTTGCATGCCAGTTGCCAGAGTTACAGGCTTACAGCCTCAAACCCATGATTTGGAACCGTTGAATCCCATTCCCATAATTAAAAAAGGGACAACCCCATTCTTCTTCTCTGTTTAATACCTTAAATAAATTATAACAGGCATCTGGTTTTGAGATGTAAGTGCTCTCTAGAAAATGGTCCTAAGCCTGTAGCATTATTATTTATTTATTTATTTATTTATTTATTTATTTTGTTTTGGGGAGATACTGGAATAATGGATTCTTTCATAGACGTGTCGCCGTGGGCGGATGGTCCCCGCATCGAGGGCCGATCGAGCAAAGGGGCTGCATTCGGATATGAATAATCGAGTTTTTCTTCGTCCGGATTTGGTCAATTTTGGGAGGATGATGATTTAACATTGGAGATATAATAATATGATTCCCATGTGAACCAGGTGACCTTGCTAGAGGGAACAAATTTATCAGGTGTTCGCATATCAGGTTGTTGCTTGGATCTTACCCATCATCATTACTGTAAAATGATTACCCCCCCCCCCCACCCTTCTGACAGAAAAGGACACCAATGACCAATCACAGAATGAAAGGCAACTTAAAATTTTGCTTTGACCATATAGGCTGGAACCAAATAAACTCAAAAATCCCAGATTTTAATTAAAAAAAAAAAAAAGCATTAGGTTTTTGAACTTGGTCTCAAAGTCTTAAAAAGAGAGAAGCCAATGTGCATAGAAACTGGCATTGAATTTGAATCAGCTTACCATATTTTAGTTGTATTTTGGACTTATTTAAACGAGCGAGGGGGTCGGGCGGCCCCTTTTCTACCATTTCCTAATTGATCTATTATGAGCGAACAGGTTCCCACCTTTATTTAAAGTAGTTTATCTTTACTATTATATAAAATATACATACGGGCACCTGGACTTAGATAAGGTGATAATTGGTAGATGAAGATCGAGATGTTTCTGTTTAAAAGCTTCAAATGTAATGCTTTTTTTTTTTAATCTTAAAAGAGATCAGAGAGAGAGAGAAATCGATCCTACACCTTTATAAATATAAAATATATATATATAGTATTAATATAATTAGACGGCGAAGCACCTCACAGGGTGTATATTTGAAGCAAATGAAGCTGTAATATGAATCTGGAAGGACTTGTTTCGTCACCTTGTTTGGGTTGTTTAAGTTATTGCCACGAGTCATGCTCACCCTAGCAATGCAGGCTTTGGTTAACAGAGAATGAGCATGCGTTTATCATCAAAAACAAATTTCAAGTCGTAACTTTTGAAAACAATACTTAACGTTGAAGTATTGTACTAAGGTTGTAATTAGGGAATATTCTTGTATTTTGAGTTGCGTATGTTTCAAAGATGATCACGTAATATGATTTTTGTTGATTCTAAGTATATTTGCATCAATATTTAAACTTTTTATACGTTAAAACACTTAGAATATCATTTTAATCAATAATTAAGAAATTCAATGACATTATGCATATAGAAAATTTCTTTTGTGCATGTGTTTAGGGAAGCTAACTATTTCGTTGACTCCC